TTTTTTTTAGTTTAAAATAGTAAATAATCTGATTTATGAGTGTTAAACCAATGAATTCCTAGTGTAAATTCATCTTGGTCATGACATACTAGTTCTTTTATATATCATTGGAGATAATTTGCTCAATTCTGTTTAGGATTTTTGCATCTACATTCATCAGGGATATTGATCTGTAGAATCTTTTTCTTTTCATGCCTTTTGTTTAGTTTTGATATCAAACGAATGCAGGTCTCTTAGGCCAGGGGTGGGCAATGTTCGGCTGGTGGGCTATATAAAGCATGTGACATCATTTGGTCTGTTGCTGCCAAGGTCATCTCAGTTCCATCGTTCCTGTTAAGTGCCATCGAGTTGGTTCCGACCCACAGTGACTCAGTTCCATTAGGGGTGAGTTAATTAAACAGTTGACCAAATATAGCAAGCTAATTTTTAAGTTAGTAATTTTGTATGACCTGCGAATGATATTAGAAATTTTTGGCAGAAAAAAGGTTCCCCACCCCTGCTTTAGACTGAATATACTCTCTTCAACTGAAGTCTGCCCTCTTGACTTCTGTGGAATTATTTGTGTAGAATTGGCATTATTTCTTCAGGCGTTTCCTTCATGGGAAGGTTTTAAACTACAAAATTGATTTCTTGAAGACAGGGCAGCTTAGGTTGTTTCTTCAGCAATGAGTTTGGTAGTTTGTCTTTCAAGGAATGTGTGCATTTAATCCAAGTTATCAAATATACAGGCATAGAGTTCATAATATTCTCTGGACTGGGAACCACTGGCAGTTCAAACCCACCAGCTGCTCGTCGGAAACCCTATACAGGATTCTCTGAGAGTCAGACTGACCTGAAGACACTTCACAACAACAATGACATCCTTTCAGTCTCTGTAGATTCTGTAACTGGTCTCACGTCTCATCACTGAGACTGGAAATTTCTCTTTGTTTTCCTTGGTCACTCTGGTTAAAGATTACAATGTTACTGATTTTTCTCAAAGAACTCGATATTGGTTTCACTGATGTGTTTGTTCTATTGCTTTTTTTTTTTTAAAAAAGTTGATTTCTGTTCTGGTCTTTATTCTTTTTTGTATTCTGGGATTTAACTGGGGTCCTGATGTGACACTGTGGGTTAATGAGCTGGACTGCAAGGTTGGTTTGAGTCACTCCTTGGGAACCCCATACAGACAGGGTCACTATGCACTGACCGACTCGATGCTGCACGGTTATGTGCACTCGTCTTTTCTGTAATGTCTAATCTGTCACTGAGCTCATCCAGTGTCTTCTCCATTTTAGCTGTGGCAGTTTTCATCTCTATTAGTTTGATTTGGATCAATTAAAAAAAAAAAAAAAGCTCCCATTTCTTTACTTAACTTTTTGAACTTATGAAATATACATTAAAACTGTCACAATGTCCTTGTCTGCTGATTCCAACATAGCAGTTATGAGTCACTTTCTATTCATTGCCTTTTCTTTTTCACTACAGGTCTTGATTTTCCTGTTTCTTGTTAGTCTGATATTAACTGATCTCTGACATTGTGATTTTTACTTTGCTGAATGTTGTATATTTTTGTTGCTATATCTGGTGTGGCACTGTGGGTTGATGTACTGGATTGCAGTGTGTTTGAAGGGCAAGGTTAGCAGTTCAAGTTCAACAGCCACTCCTCAGAAACCCAATACAGGGTCACTGAGTGGGGACCAACTCGAGGACACTTACCAACAACATGCCTGGTGTGGCACTGTAGGATAAACACTGCACTGCTAACTGTAAGGTCAGTAGTTCAAACCCACCAGTTGCTCCTCAGAGTCCCTATACAGCGTTGCTATGAGTCAGAATCAACACTACGGTACTTAACACAACATACATATTCTAGACTCCTAGTATGGTGCTATGGGATAAACACTAGACCATGAACTACAAAGTTGACGGTTCAAACCCACCAGGAACTGTGGTGGCACCATGGGTTATATGTTGGGCTATTAACCCAAGGTCAGCAGTTCAAATCCACCAGCTGCTCCTTGGGAGAAAGATGAGGCTTCCTGCAAAGATTTCCAGCCTTGGAAACCCTGCACCCAGTGGCTGCGAGTCAGAATTGACTTGGTGGCAGTGGTTTGGCTTTATACATATTCTTAGAGAAGCTGTGGTGGCACAGTGGTTAAATCACTCAGCTGCGAATCCCAGAGTCGGTGCTCGAACCCGCCAGCTGCTCCATGGGAAATAAGGTGTAGCAGTCTGCTTATCTAATTACAGCTTTGCAGGGGGAGGAGGACCAGAGTTAAAGGGACAGAGGTACATAGTGTTCTACACAGAACCTGCAGCAACAGTGATTGACTGCATTTCACAACACATGGACAGGTGAACGGGTTGGACATACCCACAACTCTACCAAAGTTCCACAGAGGATCTTTGTACATGGGTATTTAGCTTTGCTGCAAACATATCCAGGAACGCGATGGAGCATGAAGGGGTTACAATTATGAGAACTGATACCTCAAGGGGATGATTTGCAGAGCCTGGGGGCTCAGGACCGTAGTGTCAGGGGACACCATGGTCAACAGGCATAACACAGTCTGCAATCACAATGTTCTACATGCTACCTTGGTGAGCAGCAACTGGGATCTTCAGAGCTCATGAGCAGCCATCTAAGGTGCAACTGAGGGTCTCTGTGAGGAGGGAAGGGGAGTTGAGATTGCAGATGCTTGGCACTCCATGAACATCAGTCTCCATGACGCTGAGACCAGAAGAACTAGATATGCCTGGTCCTACCAACTGCTCTGAGAGCAATCACATTACAAAGTCCTGCTTCGAGTGGGAGAAAACATGAAACAAAACTCAAAATCACAAGAGACTGGGCTTATCAGTCCGAAAGAGACTAGAGGAGCTTAGGTCACTCTCAGGTCTGGAACCAAACTTGTTCTAGAAGCTCAATTTCCAGCCACAGTATAGGTAAGTATATTGGGGGGACCGTAACACTAGTGAGGTGTGCACACCATACAGAGACAGCCATTAGAGATCAAGAAGGCAGCATCTACTTAACGACCAAGTTCAGAAGCTGTGGGAAAGAAGGGATGGAGGCAAGGCTCAGGGAAGAAGCAGAATGGGATGTTACAGGGAGGGGGATTGCCATCACCCAGCTGAGACGAAGCACAGGGTTTACTGAAGGTAAACTTCAAGAAAATTGGGTGAGTTCACACTCAAAACTGAAACGAGATAAATCATCACAGCCTTGGAAACCCTCGAGGGCACATGTGCTCCATCTTACAGGCTCACAAAGTTGGAATCAACTCCATGGCATGGGTTTTCTGTGGGCATATTCCGTGTTTTCTTTCTGGAATGCAGTTAAGTTACTAAGAGTGTTGTCTTTACAATGGGCTTGGTGGGACCAGGGTAGCATTAAGTCAGGGACTCGTTACTACCCATTACTGAAGGCTGATCTTCATGGGTGCTCTCGCCAAAGTCCCAAGAATCAGGGTTTCCCAGTCTGGTTGTTCCCTGCAGTCCTTTAGGATGGCTCCTTCTCCAGGCATCTCCAGGGAAATGCGCTCTCAGCACTCTGCTCAACACTGGAAATGAGTATCTGCAGATCCGAGGTCCTCCTCGGTCTGCAGCTCTCTCCTTACAGGTGTCTGTCCTGAATACTCCAGCAGCCTCAGCCTCCTTGGAGTCTCAGCTACAGAAAATTGTTCCAGGCCTCGCTGGGCTAACCCACACACAGATGTGGACAGGCCAGCTGTAGAACCGCAAACATAAACCAGACATCTCTGCACAGACGCTGTGGTTCCCTCAGGGCACGCACGCACTGAGTGGTCTGCCTTAAAGATGGTGACCGTCATGACCTCACCTCTGTTGCCTGGTTGTGGGAATCCAGTGGAAGCCACAGCAGATGTGCTACCCACACGGACACCTGGTGTCCAGACGCCCAGAGGACTTGCAGCCTCAGCACCAGGTGGGTCCAGATGTTGAGTTCTCCCACAGTTGAGAAGCTGCCCCCCTCTGACACTTGTACCTCGGGCTCCTCTGCATCCTTGGGCCCGTGGAGGAGGAAGTTGGCTCTCAAGAGCCCCTAAGAGTGAATTAAGGCAGACTTGGGACAGTGAAGTGACCCATTACAAGATTCGTAGGATACGGAGGGGTCGGCCAGGCAGGCTGGTGGGCACAGTGAGCCGACTCAGCTGGGAGAGGGGAGACACGCTTTAGCTGAAGGGCTCTGGGCTGTTGGCCCCAGCGTGGGGATTCCATAGATTCTCCCCTGGCCATACTGCTCCCTGGAGGAAGGGGTCGTTTGGCAGGCACTTGATGGTACAGGCCAAGGGCTCCGAGCTCTGTGAGTACGAACACATGCGTCTCCTCCGAGTGATTTCACAAGAGTGGGTTTGTGGGCCCCTGTAACACTGGGCAGACGGAGCCCTTCATAATGCATACTCCGCCTCCCCGATACCACGAGCCCGTCATTCCGACGCACGGAAAACGAGGTCTCCTCTCGCGGGGTCTCCATCCCCACCTGCGCCCGGTGCCCCGTGTGGGCACGTCACTAGCTGCAGATGACCAGGGCGGGCACGGCCGAGATATCGGCAGGTCCCGGCGACGAAGCCCTTGTTCTGAGTCGGGGTCCCCTCTGAGGTGTGGTGCACGACGTCGCGTGTACACCCAGCCCAGCCGGACACCCGCCACCGCCCCACCCAAGATCCAGGGAGCCCGAGGGAGAGCTAGCGGCGCGGGAGGTGCGTGTACGCATGCGCTCTCGCGCCGGGCTGTCATACGCCGGAAACACTGCGCCCGGGATCTTTTTGCGCAGACTCGCTGGCTCGCACGCCTGACCCGGAAGCACTCGCTAAGGTTCCGCCCAACGCGCTAATACTGCTGCCGGGAGACGCGCCACTTCCTTTCTGTGTTCGAGCTCGGCGTGGTATCCTCAGGTGGGCTGTGCGGCGTGGCGCGGGCCTGCGGGGCTGTGGGGCTGCGGGGCTGCGGGCATCTGGCTCACGATCTCTCGGTCTCTCCGCAGGCGCGGTCCCGACATGCAGAACGACGCCGGCGAGTTCGTGGACCTGTACGTGCCGCGGAAATGGTGAGCGCCCCGGCAGCCCCCCTCGCTTCTCCGGCTCCCTCTCGCGGGACCCCGCCTCACCCCTGATCCCCGCTGTCTCCGCAGCTCCGCCAGCAACCGCATCATCGGCGCCAAAGATCACGCGTCCATCCAGATGAACGTGGCCGAGGTGAGCAGGCAGCCGGGGAGGGAACGTCCAGCCCCGGGGCTGCCGAGGGCCGCCAGGCGCCAAGCTTGGTGGCTCGGTGACCCCACTGTCGGTCCCTAGGTTGACAAGGTCACCGGCAGGTTCAATGGCCAGTTTAAGACCTACGCCATCTGCGGGGCCATCCGCCGGATGGTGAGTGGTCCCGCGTGCCTGGCCCCCTCTTGACGGGTTGTGGGGTGTACCTGGCTGGCCTGCTGCTGCTCTAACCGGGAAGAGGGTCTCAGGAGGTTTTTCATTCCCAGGGCGAGTCGGATGATTCCATTCTGCGGCTGGCCAAGGTCGACGGCATTGTCTCAAAGTAAGAGGGAACCCTGTTTGGGGTGGAGGTCAAGGCTTGCCTGACAAGTTCTAACCCCCACTGCCCACCTCCTCTTTTCTAGGAACTTCTGATGGAGAGCTGTGGACTGGGAGTGTTTGTCATAAATAAAGAGTAAAAACCATTTCCCTGTGGTTGCGTCCTTCCTGCCTGCAGTCAGGCCCCTTCCCCAGGGGGGCGGCTTGTGTTCGGAAGGAGACAGCCTAGAAGTATGTAGCAAAACAAGTTTTATTTAAAAAAAAAATTCATTAAGCCTTTGAAAACATCCACAAAAAACGACTCCATTCTGACATCCAGATGGTCATTCACACACTTAGATCCACAACCACAGACGGGGTTCATTTGGCCACAGGCCCAGCAAACCCCCCACTTGCCTGTCACCCAGCTGGACTTGTGCTTGGGGGTGCTCTTTTCCGCTGGGTTGGGCCTTCACTATTGGCTGTTTTGTTGCAATAAGTCTTCAATACCACACAGTGGCAGCTCCAGGCGTTAATCATACACGATGGTGGGGGCAGGGTTGGGATAAATGACTAACTCACAATATAAATACATAAATTACTGCATTTGTCAGCCACTCTGCTGACACAGAAGGGCTCAAAGAGGCCAAGCTGTAAACAAGTCATCCTACAAGGTGTACGATATGGGCTTACTGAGATGATGCTTTGCTGACAAGACAGAAAACTGAATGTGGTCTGGGCCCTACATATTTTAGCAGCATCCTTGGTCCAGCCCCTGGTCTTGAATGCATATGGGGTTTGAGGGACCATCCTTGGCTTCAGGGACTTAGCTGTCCATTGAAAGAGGGGGTCCTGACCTCTACTGGTTCTAGGTGGGGACCAGGCAGCCAACCTGATGTGAAGGAAGCAGGGTGGGGAAGGCAGCCAACACCTCTTCTGGGGTTACTGGCCGAATTACTGCTGCTGGTGACAGAACTGGGGTCTCAGAAGTGCGTACGCACAGGATACATGTATCGGGTGGGGTAATCTGGGAGGCCCCTACCGGTAACATGCAGTGTAAAGGACACTGAGATGAGCCTCAGAGCCCACTGAAGAGGTTGATTGCAGGGACTTAAGTCATACTTGAATCCCCAGTGGATGTGGCTGGGGATGGGGTCTGTTCAGTCCACAGCAGGAGAGTCCATCCCTGCTCCAGGCTCAAGTCAACATGTCAGCAGACCTCTTAGCAAATTTTTTTCTCAAAGACCCAGGGAACCCGGCCCCAAATTGTCATGAACAAATTGCGTCTCTCAGTCCAATATTGCTTCGGAAGTCAAGGTGGGAAAGTAGCAGCCAGCAGTTGCTTCCCTAGTGGAGGTGGAGGGTGGGTTCCTGCATAAAGTGCTGGGTAACATTGCCTCCAAGTCCTGGGGTCGGCAGCACACAGCCTCAGGACGGATTTCACAGTGACACGATGCTCGGAAGAACGGAAGTCCAGGAGAAAGAACAGGCTGGGCTTGTTGGCTTCGCCTGATGTCACAGCAATGCTGGGTGGGAGGAGGGTCAGCTCTCGCCAGTCCATCGAAAACCAGAAATGTCTGTGTGTTAATGCTCAAGTAAGTTCAACTTCAGCCAATGCCGTTTGTTTTGGGAGGCCTTCTTAGGTGCCAGTGCAGGGCCCAAGGCAGGAATTCCCCTACAGCGCTGACTGCCAGAACTCACCTGAGGTGCACATAAGGGCCAGGCACATGAAAGGAGAAAGGAACCCAAGCGGGCGAAGTCCTGCAAACACGTGGAAGGTGTGGGGTGTGGTCACTTTGGAATGAAAGCATGGGGTCAACGTGGGGGGGGGGAAGGAGAATGCGGGGCTGTGGGCAGGCCACCTCCACATGTAGACAGCACAGTTAGAACTGCTGGGTCAGGCGTCGGTAATGAGGTAACACTTGGCTCTCGGGCAGGTATAGGGCCAGCTCCAAAGCCACGAGCACGGTAAACTCGAACCCGATCAGGTCCCGTCGGTTGAAGCGAAATCGTTCTTCTAACTTCTGTGGGGGACAACAGAGAAGAGTCACACAGGGCGGCCAGAGCTCTGTCACCGGACAGGCACCGGTGGTGACCTGCTGGAGCGGCATGTGTGTCCTGGGGAAGGCGGAGGAGAGGGCTGCCGCACACTCACGTCGATGAGCTGCGTGACTTCGCTCTTCCGCAGGTCGCTGCTGATCTTGGCGGCGAGCAGCACGCATGCGCCGGCGCACAGCTTGCGGTTCTGCTTGTTAAGTTTGCCCTGCAGCACCAGCTTCTCGAAGTACACGTAGGCCATGGACACGGTCACCGGCTCCAGGCTGCACTCCTCCGAGAGGCTGCGCATCTCCCGCTTCAGGCTGCGCGCAGACACGGCCCTGAGCTCCGCCCCTCGCACAGCCCGATCCCTGGGGGGCGGTGGGACGTCCCCAGGCCCTGCTCACCTCCGGATTTTGCTCAACGTGAGCTTGATGTGCGGGAATTTCTCCCTGAAGGTCTCGTTCATGTCCTTTTTGAGGTCCGAGGGCTTCACATACTCGATCACCGTGGTCTGCAACAGACAGCAGCAGCATGTGCGGGCGGTCCCTGGCACGGCCTTCTGAGTCACCGTCAGAGGATGCCCAGAACCTGCCTCTGGCCGGGTGTGAAGAGACAGGGCCCGGCAGTCCGGGCCAGGGTTGCAGCGCCCCCCTCCGGCCTGGAGCTGCCGCTCCTGGCTGGGCTAAGCTGGGTAGACTGGTTCAGGAGGGGCAGCCACGTGGCCCGCCACTGCAGCAGGGCTCACAGTTCCAGGGGTGCCCTGCTTCCTGCCCCCACCTCTACCCAAGTGTGCGGCCCCTGTGCCCACTCACCATGTAGGAGGCGAAGATGAGGACACGCTTGTGCTTGCCGCAGGGCCACTGTGGGTCATCCAAGAGGTTGGGGTTGTATTCAAGGGTGTCGCTGGTCTCATTCCCTGGAGGCAGGGGGCACCCCTGAGTCCACTAAGAACTGAGGTTCTGGTCCCCAAGCATTGCAAACCAATGCGTCCATTGGAGTCCCTGGTTGCCAGGACTTTATACCCCCCAAGGATAGCGAGGGGGGCAGAGTGCCCAGAGCCTGGGGGGCGCTGAGGATGGGCAGAGGGAGACCCCTTCCTGGAGTGATCCCCAAGCTTGGCTTGTCCCATCACCAGACTTGGAGCAACTGCTCCATCAGAGCCTCTTCTAGAGGTGGTCCCGACCCGGTTTGTCCCTGCCCATGGTGCTCTCCTGACCAGGAGCCATCCCAGTCAGTCACTGCCCTCTACCCCCATACCGGTAAGGCTATGTATGGCCCAAAGCCTGCTGGGTACCTAGCTCTGTGCCTGCTGGCGCTGACTTTGTGGGGCCAGGCTTGTATCTCGACCCTGGCAGAGCCCTGGGGATGCTGGACCGGGGCTGGGCCACTGGGCAGTGGCTGTCACTCTTGGGTGCCGCTAGGGCATTAGTGGGGTACAGGAACTTGGCATAAGACACCACCTGGAGAGGGAAACACACTGGGCTCAGTGCTGGGACTGGAGGTAAAGGTGCACTCTGACCCGCTTGGTGCTCCAAGTTAAGAAGGAACTTTCTGGGGCAACCATCAGCACTACACATAATTCTTGTGTGTCAAGAACTGGCTGTCCCTTATCTGGAGTTGTGGCTCCCTGCCTGTGAAGCCCGTGACCTCCGCCCATCAGGGTGCTGAGGCTCCCCCTGGGGGTGATCACAGTGCACAGCATGGACGATGGTGTCTCCGTCCACTGTAGGGGGCTGCTGAGGCCAAGGGACCCTTCTTCCCTCCCTCCCTCGTCCTTCCCAAGATTAAAGTGTACACACACCTCTGAGTGTTGGTGCCTTGTGAGGGCACACACACTTGTCACCCCCGACCTCACCAGCCCCTCCGGACTCTTGCCTTTCCATCTGCACCCAGCTCGACACCTTCTAATTCGAAGACCATCTCAGAAGACACGGAGACACCACCGGATGGGTGCCGCTGCTTCTGGCCGTCCACCCTTAGGTCACTACGGGAAGGGGGTGGGAGCGCTAGGCCAGCCACGAAGCAGAGTTCTGGCGTTGTGGCTCGTCCACATTCCACCCACACAGTCCCCGAGTCTGTGGGTCACTCAGAGGCCCACCCTGCTCTTCCTAATAGCACATGAATGAAGGCGGCTCTTGGCTCCCTCTCCCCAACCCCTCAGACAGGAGCTGATCCTCCTGGCATGTCTGCCCGCGAGGAGCATGTGGCCCCTGGATGTGAAGGTATGAGGCTCGGTCAGCTCTGTGTAGGCCCTGGGACACGGAGAGTGGGGGACTTTCTGACCATGGACTGTCCTCGCCCCCAGACAGCGCATTTCCTTCTCCCGTAAACCATGTGCTGTTCACAGCTTCCACAGTTGGGAGGAATTTGCAGACTTGGTCTCCCCTAGAATGAGCATGGGGGACCCGACTGTAGGCCAAAGCACCCCACCCCCTTGGTGCTGTCCTACTGGATCCCCCTCTGGGTCCAGGGGCCCTACTACTCAGGTATTAGCATAGAGGGGTTGGGGCCGAGTTACACTCACCTGACCCGCAGGCCTTCTCCATAGGGCAGGACAGAAAAGGCTGCACACAGGGACCTCTTGGCACAGATCAGCACGATCCTACAGGGAGTGGGGTGGAGGGTCAGGACCTCTGGCGGGGGGCAGGCACGGGGGCTGCTGACAGTGGCAGGCCCTTCAAACAGGAAATTCTTCCTGCCTGTCCAGCTACACTGGGGCCTCGGGAGGGTCTGGCCCTGGGTGGCTCAGGGCCAGATGGCCTTGAGAGGTCAGATAGGGCACCCCAAAGGTAAGTGCATCCCAGTCCACATGGTCTCCAGCACCTAGGAAGGCAGGTGGCAGACAGAGTGGGGTTCTTGTGTCTCAGGACCCAGGTCTTGGTGAGTGGACAAGGGTGGAGGGGATGGGAGACCAGGGCGGAACCATGCCTCACTCTCTCTAGGTTGGTGTCCAGCCAGCCACTAGTGAGGGGCACCAACACCAAGGGCCAAGGAGAGGACCCTTCTCTCGACTCCTTTTTTCTGGATGGGGTGACCGAAGCAGGACCCAGGTCCTCAGCGTAGCTGTGGTCACGCTGTCACATGACAATATGGAGCTGGGTGAGGATCTGTCAAGGTCCCTGCAAAGGACCCCTGGGGAGCCACCAACAAGGTGGTCTTTGGTGGGGCTGAGTGACAGGAAACACCTCAAAACAGTGTGCAAACATTGGCCACTGAGCCAAGGGACAGCTGGGTGCCGCCGTACACCCCAACTGGTCAGCTTGGTTTTGTAGCTAAACCACTTTCTGACATGAAAGGGCTGTCATGCCACCCCCTCCTGTTACTGTATCAGAAGTCCCTCAGCCCATACTGGAGTCCACTGAAGGGAGGGCCCATGGGCACCATGCTAATAAGGGAGAGGTAGCTTCTAGATGCCATGCCAATGGGCCCGGGAGGTAGGGGTGTCCACAATGAAGCAGCTCGAGGTTCCCTGACACACTAGGATGCTGGGGTTCCTACTCCTCAGGAGCCAGTCTGGGTGCTGTCTGGGGCTACCTGCTGCTCTTGGTGTCATACTGCCGCATGTTCTTGATGAAGTGGGTCTTCTTCAAGCCCTTGTGTCTTGGAGAGCCGGATATGGGTTTGGTTCTGCAAGGTGAAAAAGGGTCACCTCTCTACCCTTGACCCCAGGGGTGTTAAGCTGGGCATGTGGGGCTGGGGGTGGGGGACTGGAGTAGTGCGTGGGTGTGGATGAGGGCAGTAGGTGTGGGCACACATGGGGGTGGGGGACGATGGTGGGGAAGGCACCTTTGCACGGAGGCACACCCCACCACGTCTTCCAAGAACTCCAGGGAGCAGCGCTGGGAGGTGATGCGCCGTCTGTGGAGGTACACGGGGAGACCGAGTCAACGCAGCTCAGACCTGTGGACGTGCTTCTCCCAAAGGTGCCGCGGAAACCACTGGCATCTTAGGGAAGGAGTGCCCTCCTTTTAGTGACATTCTTATTTCTGGGGAAGCTCCTCAGGTCTGAAGACCATCCTCTAGATCGAGTTATTAACACAACATAGTTCACATCTTTTCAATGGTGAGAACAACGAAGCTGGCTGAGAAGACACTAAATGGAGAAGTTGATTCAGTAAAACTCTGGGCCCACAAACCTGCTAACCCACTGCCTATGCAGCAGCAGGTCCCCAGGTAAGAGTGTGTGTGTGTGTGTGTGGGGGGGTGTGTGTAGGACTGCCAGTGCAATGGGGCGAGGGTGGGGGTTTGGTCCACATGCAGCCTGGGTTCTCCAAGTGAGGATGGAGGGAAAAAGGAGGCCAGCAGACAAGGGGGAGGACAGCAAGGGATGGGAGTTCTGATCTGTGGGGAGGGTCCAGAGACCAGTCTGGCCAGGTGCAGAGAGTGGGCTGCTGCCAGGGGGGAGTCTGGGGTGATGGGAATGCAGATGGTATCCAGCAGCTCTGGGCTGAGGTGGCCAAGCTGGCAGGGGCAGGAGTGCTGAGGAACGAGATCGGCCCCAGGTAAGGGGTCCTATACAGCCCCACTGACCAGGCAGGCCCTGCAGTTGTATTGAGCAGTATGTACGGAGAGCATCCCAGAGAGCTCAGGTGCCCCAGGGGCAGACCAGTGTGTCCCAGAGACTCATTAGCTCGTAATTACCCGGGGGAAGCCCAGGATGCCACACTCCTGGGAGCACACAAGCAGGCACCTAGCCCAGGGTCACACCCTTAAGCCTGTACCAGGGCAGCCAGCACTCCCTGCCCTGTGCTGGCCCACACCTGGCTGTGTTGTGGTCACCAGGCAATCTCTCAGTGAGCATCCAGATTGAGGGGTAGTCTCAGATCATTAGCTTTGTAACCTTCTATCCTCCTTCCCTGTAAGCACCTTATATGGACACCAACTCTCACAGATACTCTGATTGGCCCAGTCTACAGGTGGGGAAACTGAGGCCCAGCCCCAAGGGGCAGCTCCTATGTCTATGCCTTCACCACCAACACAATCCACCTCCGCGGTCTAAGCCTGTTTGTTAGCCATGTCCTGGAACACACTGGTGGGGGGCTGCTTTCTGAACCCCAGCTCTGCTGAAGATGCGAGTGACACCCGTGTTCCCACCTGCAGGCCAGGGCTTTTCCACTCCCTTCCTGCTCTGAAGGAGTCAGTGTTGAGGAGGAAGGACATGAAGGGGAGGACCCAGGGCCCCAGGGGACATGAGTCTGTGCCTTTACAGGCTGTTGTGTTTGGGGAATCGATTCGGTTTAAAGGGCAGTCACTGAGGGACCACCATACACTTGGGGGTGTGTGGACTAGTACAGAGAAAGAGAGCCGCTGAGAGAATAGGAATTGGGGATCCTGATCTCCAGGGGGTGTGAGAGACTAACACTCCTCCAGGAAAGCGAGTGTAGGGGAGAGAGAGAGGAGACAGAGAACGGGAGTGTGAACTCCCAAGAGAGCAAGACAGAGAGGAACCTAGATCCAGAGGGCCTGGGGGAAGGTAGACTCTCCAGTGAGTAGTATCTAATCTGTCTAGGTGGGGCTGATGCAATGAAATGCAGATGGGTCTCTTGTGATACAATAGTGAATAATTGTTATCAGGACTGTTTGTGAGGGTTGGAAATCTAGAGGTGGACATTTTATAACAAGGAGGGGAGTGATTAACTTTTCAGTCTAGGAGCCGAGGTTCCTAGGACCATCAAGGGAGAAGAGCAGAGAGAAGGACCCTACCCAGAGAAGCAGTGTTGCCTGAAATGAAGCCAGAGATGATGACGTGGAGCGATGGAGCAGCTGGAAACTTTAGATCCAGAGAGGAAGAGCGACTGTGTGCTGAAGACCTAGGGGGTACGGGGGAAGGATTGCATGGAAGGGATTGTAACCATGGCAATGAGACAATATACGATAGAATGAATGTAAAACTAATGTTCTCCCATGTAAACTATCACATAATTCACAATAAAACATTAAAAAAAAAAAAAGACAGAGAGGAGAGGGAGAGAGACAGAGGAGGAGAGAGACAGAAAGTGTGAGAGCACACGAGAGCAAGACAGGGAGAGAGAGAGAGAGAGAGAAAGAGAGAGAGAGAGAGGGAGAGGGCGTGTCTGCTCACACACAGTCCACACACAGTCCAGTGCAAATGGACTCGACCAGTGGAGTGAGTGCAACAGTCACGGGGCTGTGTTAGTAGCTGTGGGACATTCTGAATGTGGGAGAGTCTAGAGGGAGAGGAGAGGTCCCACATTTAGAAGGCAGCAGTAAAGTATCACCGATACTAGAATGGCAGGGCATTTCCTAAACAGTGAATGAGAAGACTGTGTGTCATCCTCAGCCTGAGCCCTACCCACTCAGGGTGCTGCCAGGACCTTTGGTCCTCAGGAAGCCAGCAGACCTGACTGCCTCAGGGCCCTGGGCACCTAGACCAGGCTTCTCTTAGGCCGCCGCAGAAACACCATCGAGTGCCAGATACTACTGAGGCTCAGGAGGGGCAAGGGGACATTTCTGTTAGTGAAGATATACGAGACACTCGAGATACAAGGGTGTGGCTACTTTAAAACGCCCACAAAGGAGGATGAAGACAAGACAGGCAGGCAGATCATGGGCCAGGACTGAGCTGGCTCCCCCGAAAGGACATATTGCCAAACGCTTACCCGTGCCCACCCCAGCCGAACAGAAACTTGTCTGCTAAGCCTCAATACAAGCTGGACCATTAGCAGAATCTGGGGTGGGGGGCCTTTTTACTGAGCTGGTGCAGTAGCGACAGGGGTACAACACGTATAAATCCACCATCCTGACAGTACATCCCCACTGGGGCCCTTTAGGCCTCAAATGCACTTTGGGCTTCCTGGTCTCTGGGCGTAGACACACAGACATAGTGTGCGCCTCCCTGGACACCTGGTGAGTAGGCATCTCCCTGATTTTCTGGCTGAATCATTATTAAAATCACAGGCACAGGGACCACCTGCCTTAATGAAGTAGCAGTCATTGGCTGGGGCAGCCCACCTCTGACCCCATGGAAGAAGGGCCAGGTCGTGGGCGGCTTCTGGGGGCAAGGTGATTAGGACTTGATAGCCTTTCATACTGGTGTGTGAGGCTTGGCTAGGAAGGGAAAACTATGAAACATTGTTTTTAATTAAACATTGTTTCTACTGTTCAGAAACTTCCTTCTCTTTGTAATTGGAGGAAAAAATGCTACTTACTAAACAATGTTTCAAGTGTTTATAAACTCCTCTACTTTGTAACTGAAGGAAATGCAGAAGGGAGGGAGGGTGAGTTTCAGGAGGGAGATTCTGCTCAGTTGGAGCTAGTACAGAAACCCTGGTGAACAAGGGCTGGCTGACATGGCCTTGCAATCTGGAGTGGACAGCCGGCCTTAGTGAAATGACCCAATGACATACGGATCTGGCGCCTCCAGGAAAGTTGTGGGTGGCCAGTTCTGGGCTCAGTAGGCAGTAAGCTGTCTGGCCAGTGCCTGGCGCCTTGAAGCCCTACACATATCTGTCCAGCAGAGAAGCAGTCCTGGGTGCCTGATCCCAGGAAGTTCCGGGCTGACAGAGCCACACACTAGCATGCTCTAGCAAACTGGGCAGAGGCCCCTGGAGTCCTGTGGCTTCCTACAGGGGATGGTACAGCAAACCTAGGCTTCATTAGGGAGCTGCCTCCAGGCACAAACCACACCACCCACTCCAGGTGTTTTACAGTCAAACGGCAAAACCCCTACACTGCAGCTGTAAAGAAGTTGCCAGCTACAAAGCAGAACTCAGGTGGGTCTGGCACTAGGAGGCCTAAGGAATGCTGAGTGGCTCCGGGCTGAGAGGACCCACATCTGTGCTCAAGTCCCAGGCCTTGTTTTGGCTGTCTCTGCAGCAGCCCCCTGAGTGGTCTCCCCTGTACAGGCCTCCCACCCCGATGGCCCCATGCTTGTCATGACCTCAGGTCACTTGCTATGACGATGGTATCTGCTCTCCATTTTTCATCATCAAGTCACTGCTGACACAAAGTGGGGCCAGCAGGTGGTCTGTCACCGGTTGGACCTGGGTGTGAAATTCAGATTCTCCCATGGACACTGCCACCCCTTGGAGCTCTCAGCACACACCTGACCCTTATACCGACCCCTCACTCAGACATTGTTTAACGGGAATTCCTTGTCACAGAAGACACTGTCAGAGGTTGCCAAGTCCGAGTCTGGGTTCAAAAGGTTACACCCACCTGATTCTTTTAGTCCTCTTAAAACACGGCCTGGGAGCTGCACAGGCTGCTACCTCACCCACTCACTGGACCACAGAGCTGAGTGCAGAGGCCCTCCCCGGGACACCTCTCAGATCCAGGTCAGCACCATCGACTGGGGAACAGGTGTGTGTGTGGGGGGCATGTGTGTCTGGAGCTGAGGGAACCCTGAAGCCTACCTCTAGGAGACTGACAAAATTGAGAAAATCTTCCCTCCACATCATGGGGCTGATGGCCCAGGTCACACTGATCCCCTAATCCTGGTTGATGGGTCCCAGGCCACTCTGTCCAGAGTCACAGGCTGATGGGGCCCCAGGGGAACCTGACCTCCAAGTTCTGGGCTGATCTGTGAGTCGGGGGATGATGGAGCACCAGGTGACCCTAACCCCACGTCTTGTGATGACCAACCCTAGGTGACCCTAGCCCTGGAGTCCTGTGATGACCAACCATAGGTGACCCTAACCCCACATCCTGTGATGACCAACCCTAGGTGACCCTAACCCCGGAGTCCTGTGATGACCAACCCTAGGTGACCCTAGCCCCATGTCCTGTGATGACCAACCCTAGGTGACCCTAACCCTACGTCCTGTGATGACCAACCCTAGATGACCCTAACCCCGGAGTCCTGTGATGACCAACCCTAGATGACCCTAATCCCACATCCTGTGATGACCAACCCTAGGTGACCCTAACCCCACGTCCTGTGATGACCAACCCTAGGTAACCCTAACCCCACGTCCTGTGATGACCAACCCTAGATGACCCTAACTCCGGAGTTCTGGGCTGAGAGTGCCCCAGCTGGTCCTGACCCCCAAGTCCTGGCTTGCCTGGACCCTGGTGACCCTGACCCCAAGCCCTGGGCTGACGCTGCATCCCGCTCACCTCTGGCGCTGCACGTCCAGGGCCAGGCCGACGGCCACCTGCGTGGGGCTGAGCAAGCCCTGGGGGGCAGCCCTGGCCGGGGGCCCGGGCGGGCCTAGTGGCGGCGGCGACGGCGGTGGCGAGACCCCGCGGGCGCCGGGCTCGGGCTCGGGCTCGGGCTCGGGCTCGGGCGGCGCGGTCGGTTCGCGGGCCTCCGCGGCCGGTGGAGGCTTCTCCCCGCCCGGGCCCAGGCTCGGCGGTCTCCCGTCCAACGAGATGTTGTTGAGGAAGAAGAGCGCGGCCTGGCGACGCCGGGAATCCCCGCGCTTCCGCGACGCCTGCGGCAGGGTCCGGGTGGCCAGGCCTGGCATCGCAGCCTCGGCGGGGCCGGGGGCTGCCGGGACGGAGCCCGGGGCTCCACCCGCCGCAGTCGCGGCCATCGTCCGACTGAGCCGCCGCGGCCCGCACGGGCGCGCGCACGCCCGCCGCCCATTGGTGGCGGCCCGCCGACATGCAAATGATTACTGTCACTCCCGCGCATTGGTTGGCGAGGCGCCGGGGGCGGGCCGCCGTACTCGGGGGCGGTTCCCCTGGGTCCTACAGACTAGTGCGGCTGCGTCCCTAGGGATCAGAGTCGCGCGCCAGGGTGCCCCCCAAGCATTGGCCTGGGCTTGAGCGGCGGACTGTTCCGTGGGTTCGATTCCCTGCCAAAGAATCTGCGGTTATGGGTGCCGGTGACCTGATCTCACAGCTAGGCGGCGTCTGATTCGTGATCAGTCTCGGGTCCGGCGGTGGCCCGGCGAAGAGTCAGTGCACCCCTAAACTCTAGTTAATGTGTGTAAATTGTGGCTCTCTGGCGCCACCTGCTGACCCCGGGACGCTGTGGCTCCCTCTCACGAGGGGAGGGGCTGACTCCAGGTTCAAGCCCTAAGATCACCCCTCCTTGTAAACCTTGAGTGGGGCCTCAGATTTCCTCATCAGTAAAGTGGAAATGACAGTAAGGCCCGCCTTCTAGGGCTCGGTGACAATGCCTGGCTAGAAGTGTGTAGAGTTCTTGACAGGCAGAGAAGGATCATTTTGATGATGGTAAGTCATCAAGTGAGCTGATACAGGGGTATGTCCACTGGGGCCCTCCCACTGACTGGACAGCCAGTTGGATCAGCTCACCCAACTGCTACGGACACTTTTGCTTTCACTCCCCAGCCCTCTCAGGCTCTCTCCTTGGTTTCTGGGTGGCAAGCTGGGCCTCTGCTCCCTCAGTGGGGTCTCTCTGACCAGACTCTGCATTGTATACACAGCTCTCTTGGGAAAGTGACATACTGTCCCAGCGTGCAGACACAAGAGGTGGGCCCATCTGGCCGGCAACACCCTCCTAGGAGCTCCGGGGTCTAAAGTGGAGGGTGTAGATGGGCGTCGTTATTGTTCACAGCATGCAAGTTCGGTTTTATTTGATTGCAGAAAGAACAATGGAACCTTTAACAAGAAAGACTGCGTGCACACGCGCACATATGCCTGAACTTCAGGGTCTCTTGGAAATTTAGTCCTCTGGCCAGGTGGATGAGCTGCCCTGTGCAGAATGGCGGGACAGTGAGGGGCACGCCGGTGGCAGGGGCCTACCAGGACAGGGCAGGTGCACGCCAGTTCTGTCACAATACGCGGAGCCTCCAACGTTCTGCAAACTAGGTAGCCAACTTGGCTTTGTCCCTGTCCTCTTGTCAGGAGTGACCTCCGGGCCCTGAATGTGTTCAGTCACCTCCGGTGGGGCGCGGACAGCAGTTCCTGCCGGGTGGGTGGAGGCGGGGCTGGCCAGGCAATCTGCCCGTGCACTACCGCCCTTTCTTTGTACGTTCTCTGAGCTTTTGGCAATCTTCCTCCGTCCTTATCGCCAGACGCCTGTTTGCCATGAATCCACGAGGGGGCGCCAGAGACCACTGAAGTTGGCTGGAGCCATTGGAAATGGTGGGCTGGGGTGGAGGGGCGGGAGACGGGTGGCATAGGGTATAGATTCCCTGTACCAAAAAGAGATGGTCGATGTTCAACCATTTCAAGAGGTAGCATTTGATTCGAGAGCCAACGATACTGAAGGAAGAAGTCCAAGGTGCATTGAAGGCATTGGCAAAGAACAAGGTTCCGGGAATTGATGGAATACAAATTGAAATCTTACATCAAACTGATACAGCACTGGAGGCACTCACTCATCTCTGCCAAGACATTTGGAAGACAGCTACCTGGCCAACTGATTGGAAGAGATCCGTATTTGTGCTCATTCCAAAGAGCGGCAACCTAATAGGATGCAGAAATCCACAGACAAATCATTAATATCACATGCAAGTAAAGTTTTGCTGCAACAGTACATTGATAGCAAACTGCCAGAGGTTCAAGCTAGATTCAGATGAAGATGTGGAATGAGGGATATCATTGCTGATATCAGATGGATCTTGGCTGAAAGCAGAGAATACCAGAAAAATGTTTACCTGTGCTTTATTGACTGTGCAAAGGTTTTCAACTGTGTGGATCATGACAAGCTATGGCTAACATTGTGAAGAATGGGTATTACAGAATACTTAATTGTACTCATTAGGAACCTGTACACAGACTAAGAGGCAGTTATTCCAACAGAACACGGAGAAACTGAATGGTTTAAAATCAGGAAAAGTATGAACCATACTTATTCAGGGTATATGCTGAATAAATAATAAAAAAATTATATTAAGAAGAACATGACATCAAGATTGAAGGAAGAGTCACTAGCAACCTCTGCCATGCAGATGATACAATCTTGCTGAAAGTGAAGAGGACTTAAAATATTAATGAAGATCAAAGACCACAGACTTCAGTATGAGTTGCACCTCAATATAAAGAAAACAAAACTCCTCCCCAAGGGACCAATAAATTACATCACAATAAATGGAGAAAAGACTGAAGTTGTCAAAGACTTCATTTTGCTTAGATCCACAATCAACACTCATGGAAGCAGCAGTCAAGAAATCAAATGACATGTATTGCATTAGGCAAATCTGCTGCACAAGACCTTTTCAAAGTGTTCAAAAGTAAAGATGTCAATTTGAGGGCTAAGATGTGCCTGACCCAAGCTGTGGTATTTTCAATAACTTGGTGCTTCTGAAAGTGGACAGCGAATAAGGAAGGCCACAGAAGAATTTATGTATTTGAGTTATGGTGTTGGAGAAGAATATTAAAAGTACAAATTAGAAGAACAAATTTGTGTAGGAAGAAGTACAGCCAGACTGCTTCATAGAAGCCAGGATTGCTAGATTTTGTTTCTCATACTTCTGACATATTATTAGGAGGGACCAGTCCCTGGAGAAGGACATCATGCTTGGTAAAGTAGAGGGTCAGCAAAGAAGAGGAAGACCCCAGTGAGATGGATTAGCAAGGGGCCGCAGCAATGGGCTCAAGCGTAACAATTGTGAGAATGGTGCAGGACCGGGCAGTGTTTTGTTCTGTGGTGTATGGGTCGCTATGAGTTGGGACAACCTCCATTGAGTCTGTTGGCAATAACAACAATAACAACAGGAGAGGGGGAGTCTGGGACGTTCCAAAGCCTCCTGAAAGGGGGAGGCTATGCTACGAGGGGCTGCCTATGTGTCTGGGGAGGGGGTAGCTGAGTGATTTCACCTTCACATTCCCTTCCCCCACTCCTCCCAAGGAGGAGGAGAAGCTGGCCCTCCCAGGACACGGGCCAGGATCCCAGTGCTGAATGTTTGTGTGTTCATGGCCCTCACGGGCCTGGCTCATCCGTGTTTGCTGGTGTGGCCTGTCCTGGCTGCTGCATAAGCGGGGAGTGGGCAGCTGATTGAGAGCCCCTCTGGCCACTGCAGCTCCCCCTCACCTGGCTGGGCTCCGGGCTCCGTCTCCTCCCCACCTCAGCTGCTGGATGAGGGGCTGCGGTCCTTGGCATTCTTTGGACTTCTAGAACTTTCCTCCACTGCCAAGAGCTCCTGAGGCTTCCTTCTCCCTCGGAACAGCTTCTTGGGGGCTGCAGAGGGAGGTGGAGCTGAGGCCAGTCTCAGAGGCCAGGTGGCTGACCCCTCAAAGTGAAACTGGGCAGGTCCTGGGGCCTCCAGAGCCACATTCCCAAAGTCAACTGGCCACCGTAGTGATTGCTGCCCATGGGACAGGTGGGGTGGTCTGATTTGATTCTGAGAGTAGAAATCACAGGCAGCCTCAAAGTCTCCAGATCTGTGACCCTTTGGTGGGCTCGGGTATCTGGGTGACTAGACCATATAGGGAGATGTCCTGGCCTGGAGCTGGGACCACAATGCAGAGGGACACATTCCTGTGTGTGGTGGGGTGGGGGTGTCGTCTTGGCTGCACTACTAAGATGGAGTTCACAGGAGACAGAGCAAAAAGAGCTTGAATTCTGGGTCTGACAGGTGCAATTCAAATCTGGACCCCCAGATGCCTGCTCCATGACATTGGGCATGATACCTCTCCTCTCTGAGCCTCAATTTCTCCACCTGTAACACAGTGATAATCCTACCTTATGGACAGATTGTGAGGCCCAAAGGCAGGAGTGACCTCAACTCCCTCTTCACCTCAACAGGTGACATTGCCAGGCAACTTGGGGCATCCTATCTGACCCACGTTAAGACCGTTCTCATTGACCACCAGGGTGGTGTTACAGGATTGTCAATAGGCTGTCCGTGGGACAGGGGTAGCCACGGAGGAGGCCTGCTTGCTGACTCCAGACCTGGCTGTGTGGGAGGACAGCATCTCAACCTACTGGCCTTCTGGGCTTCAGCCACACAGGGAGATCACTGCTGAGGCCTCGTGGGTGGCTATCCACCAGCCCACCAATGGGGCAGTGGAAAAGGCAGGAATACTGGCCCCTCCTGGCTGTGAAGATGGGTTCTCAGCACCTGTGGTAGCCTGCCTTGAGGACCCGCCTAGACAAACCCCAAGGCTGCATCAAGCTTGTTAGCTCATGTGTCCAAAGGCCTCAGTGTCCTCAAGCTTCTGAAACTCTGGCCCTTGTACCGGAGCAGGAAGTGCGAAGCTGTCCGGATACCCTAGGGCAGGCCCATGACCTCTGCAACCTTATCCAGGGAGCCAGAGCCCAAGCACCACCTTGGGCAAACATTTGAGCAGCTCCGACCCAGAGGAGCCAGCACTGCTGCCGTGACCGCTGTTTGAAGGTGGACATCATGGGAGGGGCTGGAGGTGGGGGCCTGGGACCACTTGTAGGCATGATGGGAACGACGCCTGTCTCTCGCCTTGCCTTATCCTACTGAACGTACTAGTAGCTCTAGTAACGGACCCTCTGACAGGTGAAGAAACCGCGTCCCAGGACTGACTTGGCCACACTATGAGAAGGGCTGGGACTAGGGTCTGCTCCCAGGCAGACAGAGTCCCTGCTCTTATGGGTCACTCGGGATTGGTTTGAGGGCTTACGTTTCTAGGTTCGAGTTGGTCTGAGGAGGGAGCCCACCCACGCCCCAACAGCCAGAAGGGAGGTAGCGCGTGTGAACGCTTGTGTTAGTCTTTCCCCAGGCCCCGCCCCAGCCCCGCCCAAACAGCAAGCCCCGCCCACTTGCCAATCCTATTGGACTCTCCGCCCTAGCCGCGTTCCCCTCTGGCCCTGGCCGGTCTCCGCTCCTACACCACCCTCACCTGCCCTGACCCTCCCCAGCTGTGCCCCGCCCTCAGGTCCCGCCCACTGACCCTGCTTGGCCTCCAGCTCCAGCCCTCTTCCTTGGCTCCTCCCCAGGCCCCACCTGTCCCGACCTCTCGAAATCGTCTCAGGCCCCGCCTCTCAGGCCCTGTCCTACCCCGGCCCCACCCCTTTCCAGCCCCAGGTCCTTTCCCAGGCACCGCCGCAGAGTAACCCGAGTCTGTCCTCGGGCCGGCCTGCCTCCAGGCCAGCCCTCTTTGGCTCTCTCCTCCCTCGCTTCGCCCACTGGTCCCGCCCCCGCCCCGCCCCTCCTGTCCGTACCTTTGCCTCGCGAGTCCGACGCCCGCTTCCGCTTGCGCTGCAAACCTTGCGCGAGTTCCTTGGCGCAGACGCACCTGGGCTCCTCCCCTGGCTGAGTGCTGAGCTTGACACTCACTTCGGAACTTGGGGCCTTCTGGGCAGAAGGGGGTGCGGTGAAAACGAGTACCCCCTTCCCACCAGTCCCATACCAGCGTGTTCCGGTGGAAGGTGGCCAGGACCCACCTCACTGTCCGAGGTGTCCGGCTCGTCCGACTCTGGCCCCTGCGCCTCCTCTTTGCTGGACTCTGTGGGACACAGGGTGCGTGTGTCAGGCTAGGCATTGGCCTGGGAACGTGGCAACAGCATCCAGTCTAGGGCACCGTTGAAACTGGGGGTGACAGCTGGTACAAGGCAGCGTTGGGGTTCAAATTCAGAGGCCCCTGTGTAATGCCCCACCAGCTGGGGTGCCCCTTTTTGGTTGTTTCACTGCCGCGATGGAGAGCTCACTACCTGCTCACAGGTCTGGTTGATAAACGAATGTGCTGAAAGTACCCACCTGGACCCTCAACTCTATTTCAGGCGCCGCAGGTGGAGACCCAGGCTCCACCTTGTATAGGATTTCTGTATATAGCGTTCATCTGGTCAGGCAGACTGGGACCAGCATGCCACCCTTCCTGGGTGGGGCTCACATTTACCTGTATGGCCATCCTTGTCAGGCTTCTCTGGGGAGGTAGGCAGCCCTGGTCTCCCTTTGGATTCATTCTCTGCCCCACTTGGAGAGGACAGGCCGGGGTGGTGCAGTGGGAGAATCTGTAGGGTGCCCCGTGGGGAGCCAAATAAGTGACTTGAGTTAATTTTGGAGGCTGCCCCTGAGCCCCAGCCCAGCTCTGGACACAGCCTGAGAACCAAGCTGCTGAGGGTCATTTCCTCTCTAAGGTGATGAGGTTGCCTGTCCTTCTTGCTGGGAATTGGCCAAACCGCAGCCTATCCCTGCAGCCTCTGGCTGGAGGCTGACCTGGGGGAGGGGGATTGGAGGCCAGGACAGGGATGGACCCTTACCACTGGAGTGGGGGGAGCCTCTAGTGCTGATGCTCTGTTCCCTTTGGAGCCGTTGCTGTGTGCCCAGGGACTGGAGGTTAGGAGTCTGGACTGTCCAGGTGACTCAGGGCTGGGCGTACAGGTGGTTGGGGGACTGAGCAATGCAGGACGGTTGGCAGGTCTGGGGGCGTCATGGCCCCGACCTCGGCCTGAGAGGTCTAGGGGCTTGTCTGGGGCACATTCCTGGACATCCACAACTGCCTTCTGGCTCAGGCTGGCCAGGTCTGTGGGCTGTGGGTGCCGCTCTCCAGGCTGGGCTGCTCTGGTCAGTGCTGCCCTGGCTATCTGGTTATCCTCAGGATCTTCGGAGTCTGAGGCAGCTGGTGGAGAGGGCGAGGTCCCCTCCAGTGCAGACAGGCCCTTTGGCCTGGCTCTGCTCTCCCGAGCCCGAAGCTGTTGGGCCAGGAGCCGCTGCAGCGTGCCCTCCAACCGTGGGTCCCTTTCGTCCACTGGTAGTTCCAGCAGGCCTGTGGGCTCCTCCCAGCCCTCGGCTTCCATGGCATTCAGACTCTTTGGCCGGGGGTCACTTGGTGTTGTGGTGGCAGTCAGGGGTCTGCTGCTGGAGCTTCGGAGGTGCAGGGCCAGGTGGCGGCTCAGGAAGCTGAGGCGGTCAGCCTGCAGGGAGCTCTTCAGGGCCTCAAAGGCCACGAGAGAGGGCCGGGAGGCCCGCAGAAGGCTGTGGAAGAGGAGCCCTGTGAGGGTCCCAGGGGACCAGTAATGGTGGAGTAGAACTTATGGTGGGGGCAGGGAGGGGGATGAGGCAGAGAGACGATGGCCACCCATTTTGAAGGTGAGGAAATAGGCCTAAGGTGAGGGCAGCTCTGGTGGGTAGCAGTGGACTTGGCCAGAGAGCCCTCAGCATGTCCTCAGCCTGCTCTGGCTTTCTGGCAGGACATGGTCCTGGGGGGCATCAGGCCTCCTTGAAGCATCCCTTCCTCCCACACAGTTCTCTGTACTCTCAGCCACAGAACGCTCTGGGCTTTAGAGAAATAGGAGAGGCTCCCCTGTGCCCCCCTTGAGAAGGGACTCCCAAGAGCAGGGCCCTATCTGCTACTCCTTCCCTCCCTGACCTGGCCACTCAGGAGGTGCCGAGGAAAAGCCAAGCCAGAGAAGGGTGGAGGTTCCTGGAGGGATAATCTGAGGGACTTCCCGGCCTCTCTTGGGGGAGTTGGGGGGGGGGGAGCCAGAGTCTAAGATAGGACCTTGGGTGGAGCCTTCACCTGTCCAGGGGGAAGCTGGGCTCGTAGGGAGGGTTGGGTGGGCTGCTCCTGGCAGGTGGAGGGGGTGTTCCGTTGATGGAGCCTTGGTCTGGGGGGCATGCCCGGGACCCAGGCCGTACCACGGCGATGGTCCCATGTAGCTGGTTGGAGATGTGCTGGGGGCTCTGAGAAGGGCGAGTAAGTCAGCGGGGTGGGGGTGGGACTGTCCTCTGATCTCTGGTCCCTGGCAGGCCGTGTGCATGGTGGACAGATCAGTGGGGGAGGGGCAGCCGTCTTCCCACCCTGATCCAGGGAGGTTCTCTGTCTCACTTAGAGCTGTGAGGCTGACAACCAGCGTTCTGCTTGGGGTCCCACCCTCACCATGTCCGGGACCCGAGACTCAGGCACGCTGACACTCGGAGAAATTATGGTGACAGGAGATGTCCGGTGCCCCAGCTGCTGCTCTGTAGGGGAGAGGCAGTGGGCAGGAGAGGTTGAGTGCTGCTGGGGGTGGGGGTGCGTCAGGAATCCTGCTAAGCCCTTCCACCCACCCACACACACCTTCTCCCCGTGGGTCCATGCTGGGACTCTCTGCCTGGGGCTCCTCGTGGTCTTGAGGTGACTTCTCAGTACCTGCCTTCTGGCCACCCGGGGAAGGTAGCAACAGGGGTGAGGGGGGGTCCGAGGTGCCCTCCCTGCTCAGGGACTTGGGCCTGTCACCGGAGGGGAGGCAATGTCAGGAAGGTGAGGGAGGCTCATGATCCAAGAGGAGCATAAAAGTCACATTCCTCCTCCAGGGACCAGCCTCTCCAAGGGGGCCCAGGAGAAAGGAAACCAACTCCTGTATTGCCTGAGAGTTCACCATCAGCAACTCCCCACTGCAGGGCTCAGTATCCCCCTCCCCCCCCCCCCCCCCCCAGTTCGTATCAACCCCTAGCCCCTGGGCACTCTCAAGGGTAGAGATGCTTCAGGTGCTGGGGACCCCCTTCCTTTGCTGTTCATTCACATAGGAGTCTCTCCTTGGGCAATGGCCTGGGGTTTCCTCACCCCTCCATGGGCATCTCCTGCCCAGGCCCACCTGCATGTGTACCCTTGTGCTGGGGGTTGACTGGGGGAACCAGGGTGGTTCTGGGGGGCCATCCCCACTCACTGCAGGCCCCGAAGCCGCTTCACCTCTTCCTTCAGACTCTTGTTCTCGTCCTTCAGCCCGGTCATCTCATTGGCTGTGAAAGTCATGGATTATTGATGCAGCTTGGCAGGAGGGTCAGGATGGGGGGAGGGTCATCACAACCCAGGGATGCCCCCTCCTTGTCTTGTTCCTAACTGTGTCCCCAGCACTTGGCCCAGGGCCTGGCATATGGTAAACGGTCGCCTGGAAACCATGAAAAGTAACAGGACCATCCTCCCCTCAATTCCCGCTCAGTAGGGCTGGTGGCCTTTCTCTGTGACAGGAGGGAGCTGAGGTCCAGATAGGCCCAGGGTGCCCTCAGTCCAGGGGCTGACACACGGGACACAGAGGGGTCAGTTGGGGTCTTATGCCCAGTGTGGGCCCTGAGCAGGGGTTTCCTCTTCTATAGAACGGGGCACAGTGCCTCTCTCCATGGTGTGGGGTGGCTGCCTTACTCCGGGTCCCTGAGAAGGGGGCAGACAGGGCACACCAGGAGCCCCAGGTTCCTAGACAGGACGCTGCAGGGCTGGGGGCAGAGCATACCCGGAGCCCGGGGTCCCAGGACAGGACTCTGCAAGGATGGGGGCAGGGCACACCAGGAGCCGGGGGTCCCAGGACAGGATGCTGCGGGGTTGGGGGCAGGGCACACCCGGAGCCCAGGGTCCCCCAGGCGGCTGCTACAGAGGCTCACTCAGGAGGAAGATGTGTTGCAGGCTCTGCAGGTGGGAGCTCTGGAACTCATGCTGTCTCTTTCTGGCCAGCTCCTGGGTCACCATGCAGCGGTCACACAGGCCAGCCCGCAGCCTGGGGGGCATTGAGAGGCCGAGTTTAGGGTGCAGCCCACTGCCTCCAGTACCCAGAGACCAAGGCCTATGGAGGAGTAGGACCCCTCATCGTCATCTCCCAGGGTGTGCCCACCCCTTTCCCAAACTGTGATCTGTGGAGCCCCTACCCATCCCCTACCTTGTGGGGTCAGAGTTCTATGGTGAATGAAGTTTTGGAAGAAATCTTGAAGATGCAATGTAGGTAAGGCTCAAAGGAATCAGGAGAGGAGGAATCTGCCTGGTACGGCTGATATCAGTGTTTCCCAAACACAGTTCCCAAGGACCACTTGGCATCTTCCCTCCCCCCTTCCCCCCATCAAACTCACTGCTTACCTGTTCTCCAGAACTTTTACGTTCTCCTTCAGAGCCTTCTGCTGCTCCCGGAGCTGGAGGTTCTTGGCAAAGAGCTCCTCAATCCTCTGAGCATCCCTGTGTCAGCAAACCCCAGAAGATAGCTTCCCACCTGGGTCTATGAGTGCTCCCTCCCCCTTTCCAGTCTTTCCTGATCAGGGCTCCCCCTGGTGGGCACGGTGCTTACAAAGTGGAACTGTGCCAGGGCAATGCTTAACCCAATCCTTGCAAACTAGTCGTGTGCACAATGCTTGGTGCCATTTGTCTTGTTCATGCACCACTCATGCTGTGAGAATGTTCTTGAGTTGGGGCCTGGGGGCCACCCTGTGGAGGTGGTGTTCCTAGTCACATTGTATCTCGCGAGGAAGGGCTGCCCTCTTGGGAGTTCCTGCTCAGTGGTGGTCATCACCTACTCGCTGTGTGACCGGGACTCACCCACCCTTTCCGACCTCAGTGTGAACCATGAGGTCATGGAAGTACCCGCATGCTGGGGGCCATTGTCCCCTGCCTGTGCCCACCAGTCCTGGGGCTCCGTGGACTCACCGGCACCTCTCAGAGTTCAGTTCCACAAGCTTGTTCTGCAGGCCTAGCCAGAGAGGAGGGAGGCTGAGGCCGGGTGCATCCCCCAGCCACCCTCCCACCTGTGATAACTGCTGCGGGGTCCTCTCTAGTGTTCCCAAGGGGAGACCAGGGGGCTGACCTGCCTGGTGGCTCCCTTCCTGGCCAGTTGCTGGACATGCCAGCCTCAGCTCCAACCACTCACTGTGGTTCTGTGCCTGGGATCTGGGCTGAGTATCCCCCTTCCCTGGGGTCCTCAGCTCTGTGGTATCTGTCAGGAGGTTGGCAGGGACTGGACCATTTTTCAGAGAGTGATCCAGCACTTTGGTCAGTTCTGGGAAGGACATTGAGAAGCCCAGAGAGACTGTCTAGGTGGCATAGTGCATGTTGGAATAAAGTCCCTGCAGACTTCCTCCTTGTCCACTCTGTGACCCAGTGTGGGTCCTGAGACCTGGAACCAGGAGAGGTGTAGTCCCAGCAAGCAGCCTGGCCTTTCTGGAGCCATTAGGGGTGGGGGCTGGAAGAGGGGCTGGCTGTGTGAGTGCTTGCTGGAAAGTTTTTTAGGGAGGGTCTGGGGGGAGGGAGGGCCTCAATGGGCACTGAGTGGGGAGCTAGTGGCAGTGGAGTGGAGGGGCTCAGCCAGGTAGAGGGTGTCTGGTGGGGAGAAGGGAAGAATTTCAGGCTTGTGGGGACAGGTTCCTGGAAGAGGACACTCTCACTCTGGGAGATGCCTAGCACCTCCCCAAGGAGCAAAGGCAAGTCAGGGCCTCAGCCCCTGTGTGGGCTGCTGACCGGCTCTTTGGGAGAACAGGACAAAAAGCACTTGGCACCTCTGATCAGCACTCACGCAGTACCTGAACCACTCAGCATCTCTGTGGCCTCTAGATGGTCAGACCCTCGGGTTTGGTGAGAGTGGCCTGGCTTTGTCCCCTAGCCGTGTGTCCTAGAGGGTCCACTCACCTAGGACTTCTTTCTCGTGGATGTCCTTCAGTTTGTTTAGTGACTCCATGAAGCTCTCCATGCCTCCCTGTGGTCCTGGCCCTGCACACCTGGGGGCATGGGGACAGCCCCCACCTCCACTTCCTCTCTATGTCTAGCCTGCAGAGGAGGAAGTCAAGAGAGTGCTTCTTTGGCTTTGGAAGTGCTTGTGTGTGACAACTCCAGAGCCGTGTTGGGGGATGCAGCCTGGGGGGGGGGGCGCTGTAGGATCTGGACCTCATCCCACCCAGAGTTCCTGTGAGTCTATCCTTGTGAACTGACCCTCACAACCCCCAGGTCCTGAGGTGCCTACTCTTAAAATATGCCTCCTCACTCCTTCACTGCTTTGTCCCTGCAGGGGAACTTGGACACAGCACACACAGACATGTACACACATGGACTCAGATATAGACTCACATAGCACACAGACACATACACACAGATACACAACACACATACACACAGGCATACAGACACACAGAGCACATAGATGCATACACACTCAGGCACGCATGAGCACATGTAGCACACAGACATGCATACAGACACACGAAGGCAGCACACAGACATGTACACGTGGACATATACTCACAGACATGCATGTACACAAGACACATGTGCATACCCATCTACACACAGGTATACAGACACACAGAGCACATGGACATGTACACACAGACACACTGTATCCAAGACACATGTGCATACACATGTATGCACATGTATGCAGACACACAGAGCACACGGATGAGTACACACCTAGACACACATGTGCACACAGACATGCATATACAGACAAAAAACACACAGAGACAGCACACAGACATGTACACACAGACACACATATGGATACACACAGCACTGGACATATTAGCAACACACACATGCATACAAGACACATGAGCATGCACATGTACACACTCAGACACACATGAGTGCATATAGAACACAGACATATGTATATACAAATACACATTGAGACATCCCACATACATGTACACACACACAGATATGGACACACACAGCACATGGATATATATAAAACAGATGTGCATGTACACACATATACACACAGACAGACACAGATACATATAACATATAGATGTGTACACACTCAGACACATGTGCACACATAACAGACATGCATATACAGACAAAACCAGAGACCACACACAGGCATGTACACACAGGCACACACATAGCACATGTAAATATATGCACAGGGGCATATATGTGCACAAGACATGCACACACACAGCAGACAAACATGTACACACCTAAACACACATGTGCACATACAGCATATAGGCATGCACACACAGTCAAATACAAACATAGCATACGGACATATATACAGACATGCTTGGACATGTACACATAGACACACATGTGCACAGACATGCATGCACAGACACATACCCCCCCAGCACATATCCACACACACAGACACACATGCAAGATACATACACATACAACTATATACACTCAGACACACACAAAGCTATACAGGCGCACACAGACAGACACGCAAAAGCACACAGCCCCCTTGCCCTCATGTTGAGAGGTGTGAGGCCTCAAGGAGCCTGGTTGCCTGTGGGTTGGGGCATCATCCGTCCCTGTTTTCTCCCCTCCCTCCCTTCCAGGTCCTGCAAGGTGGGGGCTGCTGCTCCTCCCTGGGGCTGGGATTGGGCCCCAGGCCCAGGAGGCCGCAGGTCAGGATGCAGCCAGGCTTAATCTGCAGCAGCTGGGGGTACCCAGTCCACACTTCATGGGCCCCTCAGTCAGGATGCGCAAACACACAAGACCCTTCTGGGTAAGTCTGTGGACTCCTGTGAATTGAGGCCACCTCCTGCAGAGGTTGTCTGGGACCCCACCTGTGGCTAGAGCTGGGTCTGCACTCCTCCCCTCAGGTTTGGTCCTACCCTGGACTGACATAGAGTGTGACATGTGAGTGAGACTGAGTGTGGCTAAGAGAATGAGTGTAAGTTAGTGTGAGCGTGTTTGTGAATGCGAATCAGCAAATGTGTGAGAGTGAGGATAAATGTGCAGGAGTGGGTGTGAGGGAGGTGTGGATGAGTGTGCACATGAGTGTGAGTAAGGTGTAAGTGTGTGTAAGTGTGTGTATGTATATGCATGTGTGTGAGTGTGCACATGAATGTGTGTGATTGTAAGTGAGGTGTGAGTAGGTGTGAATGTGAGTGTGCAGGAGTGGGTGTGGTATCTCTAAACACACTGGTGCTCCCACCTTTCCAGGCCTGAGCTCCTTGACCTCACCTGGACCTTGGGGTTCCTCCCTGGCCTGCCCGCCACATGCACCCCCTAAGGACGCTTTGTGTGGGGCAGTGAGGAGCCTGTACAGCCTTCACCCCTTCCTGCTCAAATCTTGCTGGTGAGGGATGTGATGGGGTTTGACTTGAAAGTCTGCACCCAATGACATTTTTCAGAGTAGCCCTGAGTTGAACCCCCAAGTGTCTGTCACCCACCCATGGTCCCCATGTCACCTGTGGCCTAGTGAGACTCAGTGACAGGACTAAAGCTAACCCACTGCACATACTCAGCTTGACACGGGTCTCAGGAAGAAGACAGCAATGCTGATAGTGGTCTAGGTCCTCAAGCCTGGTTCAGGGCGGAGCTAGGACCAGACATGGGGTGTCGTGTTACACGGTCTGCAACTATGGGGTGGTAACTACAAGACAGGAGCAGAGCCTCAAGTGCAGGCAGAGCTCAGAGCTGGAGCAAGAGCAGGGGTCAGCTGAGCTTGCTAGAGTGCTTTGGGGTGGAGGGTGCAGGAGGTAGGAGGCAGTGCAAGTGACCTCCATTAGCAGCAGGGCTCTGGGCACAAGGGGCCTGGGAGGCCCCCCAACTTGAGGATGGACTAGAGTTCACTAGGGACAAGCAAGACACTGAATTCCAGAGGCAACTGAGGGGAGACTAGGATCGAGGGTCACAGGTGTGCCTTGGAGTCGGTTCTGACTCATAGCAACCCTGCATAGCGTTTCTGAGGCTATCCATCTTTACGGGAGCAGAAAGCCTCATCTTTTTCCTGCAGAATGGCTGGTGGTTTTGAACTTCTCACCTTGAGGTTAGCAGCCTGACTCGTAACCATTACTGTTTCCTGAGAGCTTGCTCTTGACTACAGGAACCCACTCTTTAGGTGGGGAAACTGAGGTTCAGAGAGCTCTCATAACTGATCCTGGCTGCTCAGTGGGGAGTGATGGGGTCAGGATTTGAACTCGGCTCTCAGGGCTGCACGTTCTATACTTGCGTGCTTTCCCCTTGGGGTCCCTGCCTGTTTACTCCTCTGGGGGCTCTACATGTCCATTTCTAGGGGTCCCCATGTACCCACCCACTGGGGTCCCTTTGGTTCCTGTGGTGGGCTGGCTGAGTAGCCACAACCTGACCCACTGATGGGCAGCTTTCCAGTGGACAAGCTCTGCAGTGGACCATGACCTGGGTGGCTGCCACGTTGTTGTGCTGGGAACCCTCCTGCCCTGGGCTGGTGTGAACGAGAGGCAGGCACTGCCCTTGATGTTGTTACCATGGTGTGGGGCTTGACTCCCACACCCCAGGCTTCTCTGGGCTCCCCCTGCACATGCTGGACAGCCTGGACTCGGGCAGGGGCCAGCAGGGGCCTGGGGCCTTAGTCTCTGGGTCACCTTGGGGATAAACAGGACCGGGGTGGGTCATGTTTGGTGGAGGCCTGGGTTCTCAGCTCTGCAGAGGGGAGGGTGCATGCCGTGGGCTGCCCTTGTGAAGGGGTCCTACTTGACAGTCAGCCTGGGCTTCTGAGCGGAGGGCTCTGGGCAGGGTCCTTGACCTCTCTGAGTCTCCCCCATATCAGCTCCAACCAGGTAACAGGCAGTGAGTGCTGAGTGAGTGGTGGGAGAGAAACTGCCTGACCCCATTTTTGCAGACCCCCATTAGAACTGCCCAAGAACTATGGTCAGCATCCAGCAAGTATCCCATGTTTTTGCTGAACCTGAGGGGCCGGCCTGGCATGCAGCATCAAGTCCTCCTCAGGGCCTCCCTACCTCCATAAGGCCACTCCCCCAAGACCTGCTCTGAATGTCTGTCTGTCCTGCATTCACAAAGACAGCACTGGACTTTCTGTGTCTGTCTGTCTGTCCTGCATTCATGAAGGCAACACTGGACCTGCTCTGTCTGTCTGACCTGCATTCATAAAGACAGCACAGGATTTGCTGTGTCTGTTTGTCTGTCCCTCATTCATAAAGACAGCGCAGGACCTGTTGTGTCTGTCTGTCCACAGCAACAGGAGTAGTTGTGGTGGCTACCGGGTCCCACCTGCTGACTCTGGGCCATGCCCCCTGCTTGCAGGAGTGCGGGACTATGAGGAATCAGGGTTTGCTGAGCCGCTGTCCCTTCCCCATGCTCCTTTGGAGCCCCTCTGTGGGCCTGGCCTGGCTCAGGGTGGGGCCCTGGAAGCCCCTTGGAGGGAGGGTTGTGGTTGTTCGTCTATAGATTCTGAGGCTGTGGACAAGGCAGGTGGAGGACTTGCAGGGTGGAGGGAGGATTTGAATCCAGATCTGGATGGCTCCAGAGTCTCACCTAACTTCTGTGGGGGGGCCTCTCTATGGTGCCATGCTGTGCCTCCATTTTCCTGTCCATAAAGCCGGCCATGGTGGTACCCTGTGGCTGTGTGTGCCGCAGGTGGCCAGGATTGTACTATTTCCAGCCTCATGGCAGGGACTTCACATGGGTCTCCCTTGCACCCAAGGGCAGCCTCTTTGGCCCATTCTACAGATGAGGCAGCTGAGGTTCAGAGAGATGTCACCTTCCACAGTCACCTGCTCACAGGGGGCAGAGTAGGACTCAAGCTGGCCTCTGGGTGATCTCCTAGCCAGAGAGATGTCCCAGGCACTGAGAGTTTCCAGCATCCACGGGATGTGACATGCCCCTGACACGCATGTGCACACACATATGACGACATGCTGCACATACAGAGAAGCACACCTGATCCACACCTACACACAACACCCCTCAGCCACCCCTCCCCTACCACGCACACAGCACTCAGTGGGCCTG